ACCTCGGCGAAGAAGCGTCGCGGTGGAAGGCAGGCGCTCCCAGCTCTCGCCCGCCGTGGCCGTGACCGCGACCCGCAGGTGGGGAGGTCAAGAGCTCTGCGCAGGACACTCGCGGGACAGGGAGGCAGAGCCTTGCCTCCCGCCCATGGGCAGCCCCAGACCAGAAGCGGGCGCCTCCTCCACGTTCCTGACAGGTGGCCACGTTGCCTCCTCTTGGATGTCTCCACTGATGAGGAACTCACTACCTCTCAAGACAGTCTGTTCATCTGCCAAGCCAGGCACCTAATTCACCTATCCTGGGTACCACAACCAGATGGAAGCAGAGGGAGAAGGCCAGTCAACTCGCACAAATACAAAGTCCACGGCAACCCCGGTGGGACCGGGAGACCCCCTTTCTAAGTGCCTGGGCACTCGAAAATGCCTCCTGAGCCTGGGCTGCCCTCAGAGCATTTCCCATTGACTGGGCAGGACTGGACACTATGGAGTCTCTCCACCTAATGCCAAGTTTCTCAGCTACTGACATTTGGGGCCAGATAATGCTTCGTTGTCGGAGCTGTCCTGTGCGTTGTAGGATATTAGCAGCATCCCTGGCCTCAAACCTCTGGATACCAGTAGCATCATCCTCTCCTTGTAATAACTAAACATTTCTCCAGCCATTACTAAATGTCTCTGGGAGCCCAAATGGTCCCCCGTGGAGACATTCCGGTCTAGTGCCTTCATTTTATAGATAAGAAAACTGTAAGATGTGAAGAGAGGAGGTGACTCTCTGAGGCCACACAGTAAGTTGAGGTGCAGGCAGGACCCTCACGAGTCCTCCCTCCCCTGCTGCTCTCTCCTCCCACCCTCCTCCCCGCCTTTCCTAACCTTTCCGCCGAACTGACCTGGCAGAAATTAGAAAAGAATCCCCATCTGGACACACATTAAAAGCGCAGCCTCCTGGTGGGAATGTCCCGTGGTGCAGCCACTTTGGAAAACGATCTGGCAGTTCCTCAAAAGGTAAAACATGGAGTTACCGCATGACCCAGCAATTCTACTCCTAGGTGTACGCCCCAAAGAAAGGAACACATAGGTTCACACGATACCTTGTACATGAGTGATTTTAGCAGTATTATTCCTAATACCTTGTACATGAGTGATTGTAGCATTATTATTCCTAATCGTCAAAAAGTGGAAACAACCCAAATGTCCATCGAGTCATGAAGCGATGAACGAAATGTGGTATATCCATATAATGGAACATTGTTAGGCCATAAAAATGAATGACGTACTGATACATGCTACAATGTGAATGAACTGGGAAAACATCACGCTAAGTGAAAAAAGCCAGTCACAGATGACCACGTATTGTAGGATTCTATTTATATAAAATGTTCAGAGTAGGCACATCTATGGACACAGAAAGTAAACTGGTGTTTGCTAAAGGCCGGGGGAAGAGGGGAGGATGAGGAACAGCTGCTGCTGATTGCGGGGTTTCTTTCGGGGGAGAAGTCAATGTTCTAACATTGATTGTGGTGATGGTTGCACAACTTTGGGACTATACTGAAAATGTTGAATTGTACACTTTAAGTGGGTGAATTGTATGTTATGGGAATTATATCGCAAACTATTATTTAAAAAATGTTGCCTCTGAGAGGCCACCCTGACTGCTCCAGCCACCCCACTTCCTGCTTAACTCAGATTTCTGAAGGCCCCCTCATTAGTTTATAACCATGCCTCATCGACCTTTCATTTCCTCCAGAGGCTAAACTCTTCCCTCCCTGGATGGGAATCATCTCCACATCTCCCTGGAGAGGACTGTAGCTCCCTGCTTAGAAACACAGGCTATGAGCACAGAATTGTATTCAAATCCAACCCCAGGGAACTTCCAGCTGAGTAGCTTCAGACAAGTTACCTCCTAGGAATTCAGCTCGCTCATCTGCAAAAGCGATGAGTACAAATGTGGCGCCTGCTGCAGGTTGCCATTATTAGCCCTTTGCTGTTGCTAAAACAAGCCCATTGGACACTCCCAGGCCTCCCCAGGCTTCAGAGACAAGGTCTGTCCAACTATCGCACCTGGATAGACAGTCTTTCAGGCCTTTCGAGGCTGATCTGGATTGTGAGTAACCCCACTCTTCCACGTTCTCCCCAAAAGAGAGTTTTCTTCAGCTCCCTGGGCCACTGCTGAGAAACTCAGGACAAACCTTTCAGAGCCTGGGTTCCTTGTGACCAGCACCAAGGCTCTCACCATGTCCCCACAGAGGCCTCCACAAGGCCCACTGCTCACCTGCTCTGTGAAGACAGAATTCTTCAGGCGAGAACATGAAAGGAAGCCCCAGCATGACCCTACGGCTAGTGTAGGGGCTCAGAACGAGTCGCCAATGGTGTACCTCTCTGGTATGTGATTATTTTGAGCAAAAGACAACTGAGACCCTGTGGGCTCAAGAGAAACTTCGGCCACCCCTCCCCAAACTACCTAGAAGAATTTAAATTAGAAGCCTTGCCCGTAATAAGAGATTATTAGAGATAACTTTTTTGATCTCTCCATAGTACAGGGCAAACATCTAATTACTGAATATCTACTCTTCTTATCGTCCTGCAATGACTTTCTTCTCTTTGAAGCCCCAAGGTTATCCTTGGCTCAGAATGTCATATATACCACATTTTCCCTTTCTGTCTCTGAACCTCCCATACGTGCAGAGTCTCTGACTCTTGTGCACGTGGGGTTCCCATGCGTAAGTATGTAATTAAATTTGGTTATTTTCTCTTGTAAATCTGTCTCCTGTAGATTTAATTATTAGACCCACCAAAAGAACCTAGGAGGATAGAGGAAAGTTTCTTCTTCCCCCACAGTAGTAACTGACCGAAGGGGAGGTTGTCAAGATTCCAGAAATCCGAGCAGGCCCTCTTGGTTGTAGCCTCTGCCAAGTTTGCCCTCAGCCCCCTTCCGGGGTCCCCCATTTCACTCCCAAGTCCTCATACCTGCCTCTTCTCTCAGGACTCCTGTTGGGAAGTAACTGCTATTTGGGTCTGCAAGCTCCTTCCCTCTACCCTTGTCTTTCTTTGTTGATAATAATACCCCAATCGCCAATGTTCCTTTATGGAGCACTCCTCCCCAGTTGAGTTCAGGTGGAGATAACAACCCCTTGCTCCTATTTGAGAGGGAACACATGATTCTGGTCTGGCCAATCAGAGCCCTACACTTACTGGGCACAGCAATTGGTTTATGGATGAGCATAGGACCCAAGCTGGACCAGTAAGATCCTTCTCTGGGGCTTTTTGATGGCAGTGATCTTCCCCCTACTCCAAGCTGGCATTAAGCTGGGACAGCATAAACTTGGGGCAGCCCAATAGCTAGCAGGACCACCATGTGGTAAAATTGTACTCAAGAAGAAAGTCAAGATGGAATAAAGGAATACAGAGAGAGACTGCCCTGGTGACAGCCTTTGAGGCCTAGATTCTGATATGCTTCAAGCTGGCTGCACCATTAGACATCTCAGTTACAAGAACTAATACAGTCCTTTTTTCTTTTCTTTTTTTAAAAACTCAGACACAATCTGAGTCAGCTGTTAGTTGTCACCGAAAGGCTCAGGCTCTCCTTAACTGCAGCCCCTCTCTCCATATTCCATTCCTTGCTGGGTCCGGAGAATGTCCATGGTTGCGGGACCACAGGAATGGAAAGGTAAACTCTTCAGCTTATTGCCCCAAAGCATAAGAGGCTGGTTTGCATGTCTGGGGTCCTCTTGGGGTCCACATGCTCCTCAGCTGCCTCCTCCCTCCACACAGGTGAGGAGGAGTGTGGGAATTTTCAGGGGAAGGTCACTTTTATGAGGTCGACTCCTAGCCTCCCTGGAGTTTCTGGGGACAATTATTGAAAAGTCTCACAGCACAGGCTTGCTTTTCAACCTCCCCGCCCCTCCCCCACAGAAATGCTCTGAGTTAGAGAAGAGCCTTCGGGGAAACAGCGTGTTTTTGCGACAGAAATTCCCCTACTATGTAGAGTATTTGATGAGAGCAGGGGCTTGAGTAAAGTCACCGGGGTTCGAATCCCAGCTCTGCCACTTCATGGCTGCGTAGGCTGCGTAACCTTAGGCAAGCTTACTTCACCTCTCTGTGCCTCAGTTTCCTCATCTGTGAGATGGGATATTCATAGTGCCTGCCTCACAGGGTGCCTGTGAATGCTGCATGAGCTAATGCAGGGAAAGGGCTTAGAACAGAGCCCGGCATACAGCAAGTATTCAATACGCATTAGCTCTTATTTGTACTATGACTAAGGTCCTTCAGGTAGCAGTCAGATCTCACAGGAAACAAACGGCATTTCTGATTAGGATAATTTGAGAAGAGTTTAATAAATGTGCAGATGCGGAAGTACAAGGCAGGGTGCTTTTACCCTCAGACCTGTTACCTTCCTTAGCTCAAACACGGAGAGTGGTTACCAGACCCAGAAGCAGAGTCCTGTCCTGTAGAAAGACCACTAGGGCTTAGGAGCAAGGCAGGAACCCCCATTCGGGGACATAGCCAGCTCATGGTGACCCCGAGGGAGATAACCAGGAAAATAAATGTTTTGGCTCTCCTCCCTCCCTCCAATTTTTTGCCCTGGGCCCTCCAAGCACCAAAGTCAGCTGGATCCAGAAAGTGTGGGAGCCCATTGGTCAGTCTCTATGGGTGTGGGGTCCCTATGGGTCAGTTTCCTGGGATATGGAGAAGGGGTGAGGGGAGTTGCAGGAGGGCAAAGCTATGGAATCAGACCAACTAGGCTCATATCCTACTCAGCCTCTGGCTGAGAACCTTGGGCAAATCAGCCAAGGCACCAGACATGCAAGCGAAGCCATCTTGGCTCTTTTAGACCAATCCATCTGCTAGCTAAATACCTCTTTCAATGTCACATGGAGCAAGAGAATCACTAGCCAGGCCCTGCCTGAATTCCTGACTGGTAAAACCATGAAATAGAATAAAATGGTTGCTGTTTGGGATAGTTTGGTTTGCAGAAGTAGATATAGAAAACAGCCCTTTCTGCAGTTTTTTCCATCTTCTTCTGACCCCCCAAAGTCCACGTGTCTCCATTTCCTGTTACTTTGGAGAAATCTTTAAAAAGAGGGGGTGGGAGGGAGCTTTATTACTGCAAAAGCAATCAGTATCTTCAGGGGTCAGTGGGGAAACAAAATGTCTGCACCGGCTGGGTCAGGGCTGGGGTGACCTGGGAACCAGGCTCTGGAGAAAGCCACAGCCTGTCTCAGCTCTCACCGGCAACTGCCCAGCTGAATGAGGACCTGGGCATACAGGCCTTACAAGAAAAACAAAACAACAACAAATCTGAAAAGCTGGATTTCTATAGGACAGTCTCAGATTTCTAAAGCATCAATGCGGAGTCTCTTCCCTGGAACCACGTAGGCTGCCTTCAGCTCCGCTCTCTGGGATTCTCCCTCACCAACCTTTCTTCACATCTCTATCTTTCTTCCCTTGTCTCTGCAGACAGACCAGCCCCAAACGTGAAGTTTGCGTGTCTCGGCCTCAGTTCCTAATTTTCTAGAAGGATAATCTTGGCCATGAGGAGTAGGCAATCTCAGAGAGACAGGTGTGTGTGGGGGGGGGGCGCTCATGAGCTGAGGAGACACCCCACAAAGCTTCCACAGCAGCCCCCAACCTGAATTATCAGGAAGCTTCTTATCGGGTGTCCCACTGCCCCTGGACCAGCCCCGCCCATTCCTGTAGCGGAAACCCAAGGCTTCCAAGATCTTTCTCAGGGAACCTCTCTCCTGCCCAGAAAGCCAGCTGCATTTGTTCTTCTGACTCAAGGTCCATTCCAGAAGCCTGTCTGCTCCCAACTACAGTGCCCTCTTAACCTGCACTCGTCACATATTTCTAGACACTATCCTGTTCTCATACTTCCATTATCCTTAGCATGATTGCAGGCTCCTTGGGAGCAGAATATACATCCTCCTTTTAAATTTTTTCCTTTATTCCTCCCACCAATACCCAGTGGAGGACTCTGCAAACAGCAGGCACTTAATAAGCTCTTGTTGGCTAAATAAAAACAACTTGGAACCAAAGAGAAAGTCTCTTCCATTTCTGAGTTCTGAGCCACGGTGAGGATTGTCTCTGCTTTGTGTTGTCAGAAGATGAGCTAAAATCAAGGTCAAGAACATCCTTAATTCCCAGTCCACCGAGTTATGACCCCAGTGAGGCCCTGGGAGGTTATGTGAGTCCCATCTTTTAGGAGATTTCATGCTCGTGGGATGAGACATGCCACAGGAGGATCCTCTTAGGTGTAAACGACAGAAAACTCTGACTCCGAGTGGATGGACTACAAGGGAACTGGATTGTCTTGTATAACTTGAAACCTAGTGCTTCAGTTATCTGTTGCTATGCAACAAATTACCCCCAGATTTAGTGGCTTAAAACAACATATTTATTATCTTCTAGCGTCTATGGGTTTGGAGTATTGGCACAATTTCGATGGTTGCCTTTGCAACAGGCTGCAATCAAGTGGTTGGTGAGGGCTGGGTCACTTCCGAAGGCTCAGCTAGAGAAGGATCCACGTTCAAACTCACATGGCAGGTGGCAGGATTCAGTCCCTTGAGGACCCTCAGTTTTGTGCTGGCTGCTGGCCAGAGGCCATCTTCAGTGCTTGGCCATATGGAAATCTCCAATAAGGCCGCTACTTCACCAAAGTGTGCAAGCTGAGAAGTCGATTGAGAGATCAGCTAGCAAGACAGAAGTTACAACCTTATGTAATCTAATCATAGAAGCGACATCCCATCAGCCTTGCCCTGTCCTATCAGAAACAAGTCACAGGTCCTGTCTATACTCAAGGGGAAGGGATTGAAGGTGTGAAGACTAGGAGGCAGGGATCATTGGGAGCCACCTTAGAAGCTGCCTATGGGGGCAGCCCCAGGTGCAAAACCATCAGGGACTCAGCTGCTATCAGTCACTCAGGTTGGTCCTCTCTGCTCGGACATCCTCAGTGCTGACTTCACACTCAGGCTAGTTCTCCTGTGGTTCCCAGACAGCTTCCAGTGGCGATTGGAATCATGCTCTCTGGTCCATCCCACAAGAAAGGAGAAAAGCTTCTCTCCAAAGCATGGAACAGAAGTCTACGTAGTGTGATTGGCCAACTTAGGTCACACGCCTGGCCCAGTCACCAGGAGCATGTCATGCTCCGACTGGCTTAGTTTAATTAGGATCCACACTTGGTCCTGGGCTTGGAGGTGACCTTTCCCCACTCAGATTGGGGGGTTGACACTTAATCAAAATTAAGATTCTGTTGAAAAGGAAGAATAGAAGGGATGTTGGGTAGATAACCAACAGTGTCCACTATGTATGCCTAGAAATGACCGGAAAAACAAGGCCATACATGAGGAAACCTTTGGGGTTGATTGATATACTCATTATCTTGATTGTGGTTATGGTTTCATGGATATTTACATATATTAGGATTAATCAAATTGCAAACTTTAAGAATGTATATTTATTGTATGTCAATATACTTGAAAAAAACTGTTTTTAAAAGTGTGTGATATCTTTGGTCATTGTTATGAAAAGCACAAAAAGTTAAGCAAATATTTTTCTGGTTTTCAAAAACTCTTGTCCGATTCTGCAGAGAAGTCATTCATGTCCTCGATGAGTGGGTAAAGTTCTGACTAATGTCTTTATTATTTTGTTTTGGTTGCACCCATTCGTGTAAACAAAATGTGTTAATCTATGACATTCTTATTGTTCATTAATTGCAACCATAAGTCGGTTATAGATACAAGTGTTTTGCAAAAAAGCATTGTGTGCAAATCAATTGGCTATGTAGAATTTATAGTAGAGTATTGCATATTTTATAATTCAAGAAAACAAGGCCTTGAGTTATAGGTATAATTCAAGTTGCTCTGACAATATGGTTCAGAAAGATTCGACTCGAGGGAATCATTCTTCAAGATCATTTTCTTTGCTCCCTCCCCCAAAATGAAGGACGAACAAGGAGGCGCACAGGAAAAGGCAGCCATTGGTGAGTGGCGAAGGACTCAACCGTTAATACTGGCCTGGCTGCAGGCAAGGGAAAGGCAGCTGGCTCAGGGAAAGACTCACTTGCCTGGTTATCATATCCTTCCTCTTGGCAGCACATGGAATGAGAGAATGGAAAGAGACTGAAGCAGTGACCTCTGGGGAACAAATCCACATTTTTGACAAGAAGCCAGGTAATTGTACATTAGCAGCTCATCATCTTCAAGTTGGCTCATCTACCAGAAGGCCAGCCAGGAGGTTGAAGCTGTTCTCTGGGAAGCAGAGCTCCTACCATGTGCCAGGCACTGTGAGCCTACTGTGTGTGAAGGTGAGGAAAGAGTTCTAAGGGCAAGGACACATACAACATGACTTCTGCCCCGTCCCTCCGGGAGCTCTTTGTGTTATGGTAGGCAATCTTTAACCACGTCTGATTCCTCCGTGTGTGTCCAGGGGCTCAGCTCGGTTGAATAAATGGGCCAAAACCTATATACGTGATATATTATTTATCCATTGCTGCATAGTAAATTACCCACCAAATTTAACAACTTTAAACAACAATAAGCTTCTTTTTATTTTTTTTCTCTTGCACAGTTTCTGGGATAAGGATTTTGGGAACAGCTTAACTAGTTGGGTCTGACTCAAGATGTCTCACGAGGCTGCAGTCAGGATGAAGGGAGGTGGCCATTTTAGGCTTTGTGGCAGAGGCTATATCCCGAGGAAGACAGAGCAATAATAAGGAGCCGGAGCCACCAGCACCGTGGAGTGCCACACCAGCCTGAACTGAGCACCTTCATGTGAGAGAGAAGTAAAATCCTACCATGTTTAAGCCACTGCTCTTTGGAGGTTTTCTCGAGTAGGATTTTGACAGGTATAAATAAGGAAGGGTGTCCTAAGGGGAGGTGACAGTGTGAGTGAAGGCCTGGAGGTAGTAGCCTACTTACCTCTCAAGGAAAAATGAATTACTGCCTAAGAAACCTCAAGTGCCCACCATTGAGAGGTACTGTAATTGATAATCTTTTCATTCTTCTTTTGCCTCAAGGACAATGGACTGTATCTTACACTTCTTCGTATAGTGTGCTTGGTGGAAAAGATGTCCCATAACGACTTGGGGCTGAGGCTGTGATTTATTTCTCACTTCTCCCTTTTGGAGTTATTTACTTCCTCTGAAAATCAAGTGTGGTGTCCTCAAGGCTTCTTCATGAGAAAGACTGGGTGGCAATATGTCGGTCAGTGTGAGCGGAAACCTGATCCCACACTGGTCTCCTTCGCCACGGTCCCAGCCTGGGCTTCTGTCGTCATTTCAGTGAAGTGTCCACAGACAGGTGTGCGCTCAGCAGGAGGTTCTTGGGACCGCGAGTGAAAACGTTCCTCAGTGTGGACTCACTTCCTTCAAGAGCTGCTGTGAAGGAGTTTGGGTGCTGGAGGAATGGGTGCTCTGGCTGCATCGGAACCACGTCGTGCGGTTCTGGTCTCAGCTTCGCTCTTGCTTGCTGTGCGACCTTGGGCAAGTTTCTTCGCCTCTCTGGGGTCAAGTTTCCTCTTCTGGAAGACAGTGGAGGCGTACCTCCCTCCAGCTGCTTGTGAAGATTATATAGAAGATGGCTAACAGTGTTGAGTAAAAGGCTTGTGATAAATGTCAGTTTCCCTTCATTGACTAATCAAAAAAATTTTTTTTATTGGTTTTTATAAGAGCAGAACAAGTTGCCCAGCTCCATGGGCTCTTCAGTGTCTTCCCCCATGTGCCCTGCCCCTGACAGGGGTGCCTGGAGGTGTGCTTTAGAAAGTTTGGGTTCAATCCAGCTGCCAGTAATTAATGCTGCGCTGGACGAGGTGATGTTGAGGACCAGAAAGGAAGGTGTGGTGTCCCCCCAACCCAGGGGTGTCATCCAGTAGCCTCAGATGCAGGCAGTGCAGGGGATGGTCCTCACAGGGACCTGGGCCGGCTATGTGATTTGTGGGACCCAGTGCCAAATGAAAATGTACAACCCCATGCTCAAAACGTTTATAAATTTCAAGATGGCTACAATAGAGCATTAAAACCACCAAAGGACCCTTCCAAGTGTGGGACCTTCTAAGCATGGGCTCTGTGACTGCATAGGTCACATGCCCATGAACCTGGTCCTGTCCTGGAGAGCCCAACACCTACTACCTCGTTTGATCTGGGCAACCCTAGGCAGCGGACAGAGACGTGGCTTCTCAGGCTGGCCGGCATGGTGAGTAGCTGAGATCCTGCGCACAGCATGTCTGCTCTCTGTACCCTATTTTTCCCATCTGTGAAACGAGGACAATATCTGTCCTGTGTTTCACTGGCTTGGTAAGCCAGGAGGTGCCAGATGGACTATGGGACACTGAGATGCTCAGAACCAAGAGCACATGGCTGCAGGACCCACAAAGCTTATTGGACTGGAGTTACCAAGACAAAGTCCTTCAGACATTATGGACTGACTTTAACAGGAAAGAGTTAAACAAAAGGGGTTTCAGACTAATTTTCATCTAAAGTACAATTTCTTATCTAAAGTAGAACCTGTGGGAAAGATCGTCTACAAATATTTTTTTAAATTCGAATTCATCGTGGACTGATTTTTATAATAAAAAATAATCAGAAAAATGCAATGGAAAAACATGTTCAGACATAAATCACTCATCGTATTGCCAAACTTTTTTCTGTTTCGATACTCATCTTGTCGCAGACTGAGTTTGTGAGACCGTGCAAGTGCCCATGTCACAATTTGAGTAGGACTCACCTATTCACTGCTTAGAATGGACCAGGAGCACTGGCATCACCTGAGAACTTGCTAGAAATATAGCGTCTTTGGCCCCATCCCATTCATGCTGAGCCAGAATCTGCTTTTTAATCAAATGTCCAGGTGATTCATGGGCATGTGCAGGTGGTGGCCCCTGAACCAGCTAAGGCTCAGGACACTTGCAGAAAAGGAATTAACCAGAACCTCTCCCTTTAATCTCGATGTCTCATGACATGAGAGGTGATGGTGTAAACTTATTCCTGCTAGGCAATTCGCAGGGCTCAGTGCAAAAATAAAAACATAGGGCTTCCCTTTCAAAAAGCATTAAGAATTTCAAGATGGCGACAACCGAGCCTGGAGCCCTTCTGAGTGCGGGGCCCTGTGTGAGTGCACGGTTCCCCTGCCCAGAAAGCGGGCCTTCCTGATGAGGTAGGAAAGAGTTGGGTCACTCTGGACTCATTCACACTAGCTAAGTTATGAGATTTCTGCTTTGTTTCATTCATTACCAATCATCATAATTAAAAAGCTCCAACCCTCATCCTTTTGAAGTTTATTTTTTTTCTCAATAGGCAAATATAAATGGTTTCAAATGGCTTATTCCAGTGTAAATCATTCTTTGAAAAAATACAAATATGTATGTGTCTATTAGAACACAAATGGAAGCTATATAGGGAA